TTTTTAAAAAATATTATATTTATTTTTTTTATTATAATTAAAAATATTAAAAAAATATCACGTTTCAATTTAAATTAAAATTTTAAACCCGAAATCTAAACCCGCATGAGACCTATACGGTTCTCCTCAGCACTCAGGCTGCTGCTTCTGCTGGCTATAAGGCGGTGGTTTGGCTTTTGTAGTAATAAAAACTTTGATTGACTGACTGCAATTATAGCGGTTTGAAGTTTGAGCTTATAAGAATTTAGAGTGAGAAAGAAGAGAGAGAGAGAGAAGCATATAGATAGATAGAGGGCAAAAGACTCGATCTTTCATGGGTAAGCACTACTTTTTTTGGGTGCAAAGTTCTGGGTTTTTTTTTTTTTTTCAAGTTTTGATTTTGGCGAACTAAAAGAGAGTAAAGAGATGAAAATGAGGAGTTTGATGTTTGTATGATTTTCTTCTTCTCTGAGTTCTTTTTTTTTTTTTTTTTTGGCTTGGAGAGAGAATTTCAACCGCCCACCATGTTGGTTTGTTTTTCCTGGTGTTTTTGTTTGTTTTGATTCCTTATAACAAAGGAAACTCTTGTAACAAGTATAATATAGTAGTTTCTAGTTTTCTCCTTTTAATCAACCACACGAGAATACTACACTACTTTTTGGAAACCTCCTCTCTCTTTCTCTCTCTTCTCAATCAAACTTTCTTTTCCTTTGCCTTTCTCTCTTCTTTTCTTTTCGCTTTACCTTTTCTTTTTCTTGGGTTTTGCAGGAATAAGAGAAAGAGAAAAACACTCCTCCTCCTCCATCTTATGTCTTTCCGCTCATCACAAGTTGTTGGTGGGTAAAAGTTCTTGTGTGTGGTTGAGAAAGAAAATTTAACTTCTCCTTGTGATAGAGTACACCACTATAGCAAAAAAAAAAAAAAAAAAATCACAAACCAAAACTTTTTTTTTTTTTTTTGCCCTTTCCCTCTCTCAACCAAAACAAATTAGATTAGATTAAAAAAAAAAAGGCTGTTTTAAGGGTTTGTCCACACCAACCAAGCAAAACCCCTTTCTAGCCATGGATTCTTATGAAGCGACCAGAATTGTCTTCTCAAGAATCCAAAACTTTGATCCTGAAAACGCCTCCAAAATCATGGGCCTTCTTCTAATCCAAGACCATGGTGAGAAAGAGATGATAAGATTAGCATTTGGTCCTGAAGCTCTTGTCCACTCGGTGATCCTCAAGGCCAGAAAAGAGTTGGGTTTGCCTTTAAACTTATCTCCTGCAACACCCTCAACGCCTTCTTCTTCTCCTTCAGTACCTTTTCTCACAAGCAACCCCATAGCCATTTCTCGCCAAAACTCCTCTTCCTCTTCTTCCACTTGTCGTCTCTCTCTCACTATCCCAAACTCCTCTTGGTCGGCCACTACTGTTTTCTCTGACCTCCAAACACCAGAAGATCACTTGAATAACTTGCCAACTTCTTCTTCTTCATCATCTTCATCATCTTCTTCAACGGCATCTATGAGCAACGCTTCGCTACCCTTTTACCAAAACGGATCAGGGAATGATATCATGGACGATTTTCAGCTCCAAGACCAGCTTTCCTTCCTCAACGAAGCCGGCTCTTTGAGCCCCACAAACGACCAAGCTTCTTCTGCTTCATGTTTCACTTCTTACAATTGGCCTTCTTCTTCTTCTCCGGTCCACAGAAGAAGCTGCTCAGTGAGTGACATGTGTTTGGGTGGTGGCTCGGAAGATCCCAACTCGGGGTTTGGATGGAAGCCTTGTCTTTACTTTGCTAGAGGTTTTTGCAAGAATGGAAACAGTTGCAGGTTCTTGCATGGTGGCGAGCAGGCTGATCAGATGGTTGTGGGGTCCCCAAACGGCGGCAACAAGATTGAGAATATGATGGAACAGTGTCACCATCATCATCATCATGAGCTTCTCAGATCAAAGTCTGCTTCTTCTCACCACCAAAGACTGGTTTCTGCTTCTCATCAGCAGCTCATGGCTAGTAATTCTTTCCCTTACTCACCAAAGTGTGTCAACTTTCTTCTTCAGCACCAACAAAATGAATCCCAAAGGTTGGTTCAAAAAAAAAATAATAATAAATAAAAAGATTGAAGCTTTCTTTAGTTCTGGTTTGGTTTGGAGTAGTTATATATGTATGTTTATGTGTGTATATAGGGCTGCAGCAGCAGCTTTGATGATGGGTGAGGATTTGCATAAGTTTGGAAGAAGCCGTTTGGAGAGGCATGAGTTTGCAATGAATGGTGTGAACCCGGCTTCAAGGCAGATCTACTTGACTTTCCCAGCTGATAGTACTTTCAGAGAAGAAGATGTCTCCAGCTATTTCAGGTTTTTTTTTTTTTTGTGTGTGTGTGTGTGTGTGTGTGGGTAAATAGTACTGTTTTTGTTGCTGACTTTTATTTTTTTATTTTTTATTTTGGGTGTGCTTGAACTTAAAGCATTTATGGACCAGTTCAAGACGTGAGAATCCCATACCAGCAAAAGAGAATGTTTGGTTTTGTGACTTTTGTTTACCCGGAGACAGTGAAGCTTATCTTGGCCAAAGGGAACCCTCATTTTGTTTGTGATGCTAGAGTGCTTGTTAAGCCTTACAAGGAGAAGGGCAAAGTCCAGGACAAGTACAGGCACACTTTCTTTCTTTTTTCTTCTTCTACAATCTTCTTTCTACTTAACTTACTTATATATATATATGTATATATATATATATATATATACTATATAGACACACCCTAATGCTCTTCTTGTTTATGTCAAACCTAATGGAATATGTTTGTTTTTTCTTTTCCAGGAAGCAACAGCAGCCACAGGTGGAAAGAGGAGATTTCTCTCCTTGTGGAACACCTACTGGCCTGGATTCGAGAGACCCTTTTGATCTCCAACTAGGTAAGACAAAAATTCCAAGAAAAAATTAAAATAAAGTTACAATCTTTCATTTATTTTCTTGCACTGTTTTCTTACTTGGTTTGGTCTGGTTTTATTTTAGGAGCAAGGATGTTTTACAACTCTCAGGACATGATGTGGAGAAGGAAGTTAGAGGAGCAAGCTGAGTTGCAACAAGCGCTTGAGCTTCAAAGCCGAAGGCTAATGGGCCTTCAGCTTCTTGATGTCAAGAAGCACCACCACCGCGCTCTTTCGACGAGCAGTCCTATTCAATCCCCTACTCAGTCTCACAACTTGTTCACTCAAAGCCTTGTCCTGTCTTCAATCCAGAACGGCTCAGAACTCCCACTCGGTAAACCAAAGTCACGGTCTTTTTCGCCTTTTTTTAGCTTTGTTTAAGTACTAAAACATGAATGAGCTTAACAAAAAGTCAATTGGGTTGGTGGCAGAAAACTGCTCCACACCAACCCCTAATCTCGTAGATCACCAGCTGCAACCGCCACCGGTGGCTGCGGCTAAAGACTCGATGGTGGCCGCAAACATTGATGAAAACGGCAATGACAAGGAGAGCCCGCGCGATGAAGTTGGCGATTTGCTGGAAAGGTATTCTACTGTCTTGCATTATCATGGTCACATTTAGTGAAAAAGGATGAGAAAAATGGAAACTTTTTGTTAAATTCGGTTTTTAATCATGGTTGTTCATAATTGAGAGCAGTTTGGAGCACAATCTCCCAGATAGTCCCTTTGCATCTCCAACCAAAGCTGGAGGAGGAGATTACCATCACATGGCTGCTTTCTCTGGTCATGTGGTGGCTAATGAAGCCAACAATATTCATGACTCAGATCCTTCCTCAGCTGCAACTAATACAACTTCCCCTAACATGAATTTGTCCACTTCACTACTTCCATCATCAGCTTCCACCACATTGGACATGGGATCTTTCAAGTCTTTCAATTGCCAAATGCCAAGGTGAAACTTTTTTTTTTTTTCTTTTCATTTGTGCCCTTTGCTTTGGATTCCTATTATCCAAATCTTTAGCTGCCAGATTATGGCAGGCAGATATGTCACTATCTCAATAATAATAATAACAACAAAGTTGGTTTATTTTTTTCTCCTCATATTCAGGTTCTCCTCTGGCCACGGAGCCATTGCCATGTATGCCAGCACCGCCGGTGGTCCCAAGTGCCCGGTTGGAATTTAGCTTCCTAAGCTTACAAGGTAAATCACTTAATAAAAATTCAAATCTTTACCTTGGCTTGGTGCAAGAATGAGAATGAATTATAACATTTTCAAAAAAAATGTTCTAGTGCTAATACTTTTAAATGGAAGATTCTTCTTTTTATGTCTTTTTGTTCTGATATGGGATTTGTTTTGTTTTTTAATATTTGCAGGAAGATTGGTAAGAATAATAACCAAAAACAAAACAAAATTGGTAGAGAATCACTAGCTCCACCGTCCATCATGATCACCACCACCATCATCATCATCATCATCATCATCATCATCAATAACCATACTACTTACTACCATACAAATTGCAATACGTGAAGAAAGGAAAGTGAAAGGAAAGTGGGGTCAGCCAGCCATTTCCTTTTTCTTTGTTGTTGTTTATTGTTATTGTTGTACTATTTTCATCATCTCCCAATTTCTTATGTAGCTTTGAAGTTGAACCACAGGTTAAAAAAAAAAAAAGAAAGAGAAAAGAGAAGAAGAAGAGACACAGAAAGAATTTTACACTTAAAAAAAAATTTAATATGTTTAGTTTGTAACTCCTATCATCACCAATGTAATTTTCAATCCCCTAGTACCCACTTCCCAAATTGTTTCCCCTGAATGAAACAAAGAGAGAAACCAAAAAAAGGCCTAAATCAAGCGTTGACTGTTTTTTAGTCTTATTATGTGTTTTTAGGGTGTAAAATGTAATCCAGAGATCTTTGTATAGCAAAAGCAGAAAAATCTTGTGGTGAAAAAAAAAGGCAGGGTTGTGACTACAAGGCAGATTTCATATAACCTCATAAAGGGTTGGTTTGAAAGGCATGAATGAAGGGAATTTGGAAAAAGAAGGGAAGCCAAACAAGCAAAAGGAAAGAAGTGCCATATTTGGGATTTTCTATAATTACATGTGTTCACTTCTATTTGTATTTTTTTTTTTTTTTTTTTTTACAAATATTGTTATTATCATACGAGGTAATGGACCTTTCTAGATTATTACCATAGAGAAAGGAAGATTTTTAGATTAGGAAGGAAGAAAATGAGAAAAAAAAAAAAAAAGTGGTTTATTTTTATGTCTAATTGGGGGTTTTTTTCCTTTTTCTTTACTTTGTGATTTTAAGAAAAATTTGTCTCTTCACCTCTCTCATCAACACAAAGTTCAAATATTTTTCCCCCTTTCTTTTTTATATTTTTGCATTATTAGTGGGGTCATGGGTCCTTGTCTTTGATCTTTGCTATTCATGGTGGTGAGAAAAGCAGTGTGGGGTCCACAAGGCACAATGTCACATGGGGGTTGCTGCTGAGTAGTACTGCTTTGTGGGTGTCTTTCATTTATCCATGGCCAGGTTGTACGTGGGCCCCACACTCCAAAACCCACCACCCATGTGAGTGATGCCACTGTGTGTGCACATATATGTACATTACACCTATATATACACCACCTGTTGGTGTGTGTGTGTATGTATATATATATGTGTATGTATAGGTGTGTGCTTTCTCTTCTCAATGACAAGAGAGGACGTGCACAGATCTAAATGTAGATGGTGATGCCCACACGTATGACAAAAGTGCACGGATGCAGAGAATCTTTATGGCTCTGTTTGCTGCTTGTGAATGTGTGACATAAAAAAGAGGGAAAAAAAGAAAAAGAAAAAAAAAAAGAAAATTGACTTTGTTTCTTTGTGTCTGTCTCTGATTTTCTGTTCTTTTTTCTTTGTTCTTTTTTCTTTTGGGTAATTGGCACCCGTCCCTTTTTTTTTTTTTTTTTTTTTTTAATTTTAATAAAACGGTCCCAAACTCTTAAATCATTGGCAATTAACATTTTTGTTTATTTCCGTTAGTTTTTTTAACAGAACAGCTCACGTACAATATTGGTGGATTGACGGAGAAAAATATTTTGGTAAAACAACTGATTTTTATTTTAGTAAAAATTAAAATTTAACTATAAAAAAAATAAAAAAAATAAAATTAAAAAGAAAGTGCATCTGGAACTGAACATCTCAGTCGTATTGTTATGAATATCAAATGGTTTAGTTTCAATTTACAAGCTCTTATGTATTTTTTTTTTATTTGTTCCTTAGATTTCCTTGGATTTTCTTGGCATATAGGGTTGTCATGGCTCTGTGCATTTCACCGATTCGAGTTTTGTTATAGTAAAAAATTATTAAAAACAGTCACATCAAATTTTTTTGTTACAGTAAAAATTTTTAACATAAAATCACATATCGACTCAAATTAAAAACTCGAATCAGTAAACTAGACGGGCTCTATATGACCAATGTTAGATGCGGGTTAATATTGCATCTCTTAATTTTACAGATTCCTTAGTTTTTAATGTAGTTTGAGTTCATCAGAATGAGACAGAAAGGATTTAATTGTTAATGATTTAAGAGTTTGAGAACTATTTTGTTAAAATTAAAAAAATAAGAATTAAAGTGTCACTTCCTAAACAGTGTCAATTATTATTTATTATTTACTTATGTTAAAAGGTTTATTTGACTGGTCGGAGTTTATAACCAAAGATGGAAAAGTGAAAACGGGAAAAATTTAACGGTCTCGGTGAAAATGTCTTTTCTGATGGTAAAACTTAGGAGTAGAATTTGACACGTTGTATCTAGTTACATCAGGCCACGTGCAATTTCCTGGATGGTGCAGACTTACCGGGTGTTTGATTTTTGAGAAAATTGAACGCCAAATTTAATTAGTTTCCGTCTCAAAGTATATTTTATCCTCACTTAAATGACATATATTAGCATGAAAACTGTGGTTTTAAGATGTCTTAAATGTTTTTGAGACTGTAAAGTTCGTGTTGGAGATTAAAAATTTACGATTTGATGTAAAGTTTATAAATTATTTTTGAGGTTAATCTTGGAATAATGAAAAGAAAAACAAATTGACGTCACTGTTAAAATAAAGATTTTTTTTTTTTTTTTTTGGTAGAAATTTTACGGATTAAGATAGTTTTCAACTTTGACCGGTGAAAATTGAAGAAAAGATACGCGCACATTTGTATTTTAATAAAATAAAAGATGTACAGTAGTTTATGAGGTTCGTTGTATTTGCAATCATGAGAGCTAAAAAAAAATTTCAATAATGGAGACGAGTGTTGTCCAAGTTGCATGATGAGGACGTTTTCGGCTCCGTTTAAATTAAAGGCAAGAGTTAAAATGACTTACGGTTCTACAAAAATGATTAGGGAGAAGAAAAAGGAAGAACATCAATTTTAGGTCATGTTAGGGTTTTGAAATTTGTAATCTTGGATTGGATTATCAATCATAAGCACTGATTATGATATGTTTGAAATTTGAGTTATGCACCACATATATATATATATATGGCATTGATGGTGAATTATGATCACGTTCAAACTGCAATATCTTTGCATTTTGAGTGTTTCTAAAGCTCCTTATACTAATTATTTTTAGATAAACCGTAAATTAGTGTAATTAGTAAGCAAAGCATCTTGAACATGCTATTCAAGTAATATGCCATTTCATGTACGTGATGTTGTTACATGAACAATATGCCATGCATAGACTGGAAAAGTCTCTTGTAACGTGTACACAAACCAATTCTAAGAATCAAATCGAGTTCATGAAGTATGAACTACGAGTTGATTCTCACATTTCATTTAAGTTTTACAAAATGTTTACTTCTCATGTATATAAACACGTAATAATTGGTATCAGAGTTGACCGACTATATAACTTCTTTTTAATTGTAGTTTGGTATGAAGATTTGTGTCATGATTCGAATCATGATTCGTGACTCACTACAATATTTTCTCTCATAAAAACACACGTAAATCGAGAATTTTTTAAATTATGATTCTGAATTTATGAACAAAACGTCTACCAGTTCAAGTCGCGAGGGTTATGAACACGTGGCTATTTACCGGATTACTTCTCCAGAGAAGTCAAAGAATCTATTAATATTGTGGTACTAGCAATCTAGTATGTAGGTCTTGTTCATTTTGCATGTAGAATTGGAAGGCGATCAACAGGGGCGGTGGTTATGCGGAAAGGAAAAAGGGGTCATGGGCAATGGTCCTAGGATGCTATAGATTATTTGTGATGAGTGATTGGACATTTGGAGAAGAAGAGGATCCTAAGTTAATATATTAATATTAGGAGAAGATATTTATATTCAACAACGGGTGTCATGTTTCAAAATATAAAAATAAAAAGACGGTTGTCATATTTATGAATGATATATCTAATGCCATAGGCCACCAAATTTGTCTTAAGTGTTTCTTTTATGTCCCCTTTGCTTTTCTTTCATTGCTCAAAATATTATTAACACAACGACACTTGCTACAAGTGCTTTTTTTTTTTTTTTTTTTTCATCCTTTCATTTTCACATTTACAATACACGAAATTATGGGGAGTTGACAGATTTTTTTTTCTTTTTTTTTTTCTATTTTAATAATTAAACGGCTTAGATTAGGCCTTTATTCTTTTCCTTTTTTAGTGGTAAATCCATGCCCGCCTACTTTTATTTGTACATAAGCATAAGGAATTACCAAAAAAAATCCTTATCATATGCTACATAATAATAATAATAATAATAATAATAATTAACAATTTACATTACTACAAAAGTATCATACAATAGTGGTTGCGGATATAACCTCACGATAAATCTCTTGTCATTCTCTAATCCAATTACACAGTTATATTAGATTTGCCCGAAATTATATGTTCTTCTTGCCAACATTTCATTCTCATATATATTAATTATTAAATTCTCTTTACCACGCGTTTACTATTCCTTTTATGGATTTTATTATGGAAATTTTAGAAATGGAGCTTACAATAGAGAGAACGGGTTTTGAGAGATTGGCTTAGACGATATCCAGAGTTGTATCAATGCATTATATTATTATGTTCATATACTACTTATATAAAAAAAAATACATTAATTATATACACTAGCTAGTCACTTGTTGAGTTTTATATATTTGCAATTATGAAATGTAGATTATAATACTTGCTACTTGCAACTACTTGTAATTTATTATTCACTAATTAGATTGGTTAAAATAAAATTTTCGGCAAAAATAGTACTACCGTACTTGAGAGTGAACTTATATTGAGAGTGCTTGTGTTTCTTCTTGGGTAATCTCTTAAAGGGAAAATTTCATTTTGGTATCCTATATTATATTAAAATATGAGGTTGGCATATTCTGTTTTTGAAAATTTCATGTTGATACCTCGATCTTTTAGAAATTTTTTTTTTTTTTTTATACTTTAGAGCCTTTTTTAAGATGTAAAATGTCAAATTTGCCCTTCTATTTATTGAACTAAAAATTTAAAATTTTAAAAATAATAAGAAAATAATTTAAAATTTATAAAAATTAAAAAAAAAACGTGAACTAAAAAAAACTCAAAAACAGTATTCAAACAACAAAAACAAGAAAAAAAAAATCAAAATATCTGGGCACTGAGAGAACCCAATTGAATTCAACTTGTTTTGCTTGAGCAATCAAATTCAATTTTCATCCCATAAAATTCCCTTTCACAAACACACACACACACACCAAAAAAAAAAAAAAAACCCAACCACATTTCTATGGACCTCAATGAAAAGATCAAAGACCATATTCCTTTATTTAACTCAACTTCACAAACACCCAGATTTTCGAATGCAATTGAACGCAAACACAGTCAAATAAATTTTCAAACCTAAACCCAGATTGTGAAATCAAACACATCACAGTCCAATAAAAGATAGAATAAACCTTGTTCATTTTATGATTCTAAGTAATATTATTACAGTATTTTCTCTCATAAAAATTCAAATTCAATTTTTTTTACTAGTGTTTTTTTCTCACGTACACAACTCAAGTCATAACTCGAATTGTCTAAATGAACATTATCACTCGTCGCACAATGTGGGCTTAAATTTATTAGTTTTTTTAGTAATTAATAAGAAAGATATATTTGACATTTCACATCTCAAAAAGGGCTCCAAGTTACCCAAAAAGATATTCTAAAAGGTCAAGGTACCGTCACGAAATTTTAAAAAACAGAAAGTATCAAACTTAAATTTTGATATAACACAGGGTACCAAAATAAAAATTTTCCTCTCTTAAAATATGCATGCATTTAGGACAACATAATTTATTTAAAAATCAAAATATCGTTGAAACAACTCACATATCTGAATTAGTTGGCTTCTAAGTAGCTATAGGTAAACAATGATTAAAACTACATTTATTCCAATTGAACAAGATATGACATATCTTTTTCTTCTTCTTCTTCTTCTGTTCCAAGGCATGTGCTCTGCTTATCCTTAACAGTGAGATTGAATCCACAACCTCATCGAAACCCCCCTTCAAATAAATCAGAAACACAGGATGTCTAATTCTCTATTTTTTTTTTAAAGGAAAATTTTAATTTTAAATTTAACAAATTACATATTCAAAAACAGTCGTAAATGATCACCAACTACAATAAAATTCAATTCCGAATATTAACTAGATCCACCACTAAACACAGACGAGCACAATTATTTCCCTTTTGATATTGCCTAAAATTGCAAGTCTTTAAGAGTAACACGATTAAACCATAAATGTACAACCTTTAGATCCGAAAGGAAAAAAAAAAAAAAAAATCAGAAATCTGGTAGCAAACGTAATTGTCCTGGCCTTGTTTTTGTTTCTTTGTTTGCGGTATTGCCCAGAAGGAGCAAATTATGAGTCAGACAGATTAAAATCTACATGGGCTCCATTATTGGAGTTTTCTTTCCTAGCCACATATGCATTTGTTTCTGAATTAAGATGTGACCCTTTGAATGAAAAAGACTAGATATCATGCATGTGACTTTCCGTATATCATTCCTTACTTTCCCATAATCCCAATTAATTAATTAACGTTAATTAATGTTGTTCTCAAACCAACTTTTAAGGTGGTCCTCAGTATGGCAATGCCCATTGCCCATTATTCGAAGGAATATATGAAGGCACGAACGAAGACATAAGGGAAAACTTATAAAATAAAAATGGTCCACCGGTCACCAATCTATAAAAATGGTTTGAATTTATTGATGGTGAAGGAAATGACCAATGTATCTCAGTACATATGAGATTTCTCAATTAATTTACTCTACAAATTTTAATTTACTTAGTACGTGAAACTTATCGATAATTTTAGCTAATAAATATGAGATTTATTCAGTAAACATACTTTTAGCAATCAAACCGCGAATACAAATTTATAAAGTCTTTTAAAAAACTATAAAGTCAATAAAAAAAATCAACCATTAAAGAAATGCCATTTTAAGGAGGGGCATAAAGATTTATCCCCTTACTTTAATTACCCTTAGATTCATGATTCATGGTCATTTTTCTTATTTAAAATTAAATGAGGAAAGAAATTATTCTTATAAGATACGACGTTACTGGAGTTAGAGATTGAGGAGACATATAAGCCTCGTTTGTTTCATAGGTACGAGCTACTATTTAAATTTTTTTATTACAATATTTTTTCTAATAAAATTTAAATTTCTTATAAACTAAACGTACCAATAGTTCTTACATCTCTCTCTACAAAAAATAAAAGTTCAGCAATTTTCTGTAAAAGGAAAATCAAATGGGCCTCTTAAGTTCCAGGTGGGCAACTGTGATTAATGGGCCATCATTAGGAGTCCACATAATCTGGCCCTTACCCTCAAGCCCAAGAAAGGATATGTCTCGGTCTCGCCTTCCATATTTGACTCAAAAATCAAACTTCAGGAGAATGTTAGCTATGATAGTATTTGCAATGAAAAATCAACCACATGCATTTTTCTCGTGAATTTAAAACGGAGAAATTACATGAGCATTTTTCTCGTGAATTTAAAACCGAGAAATTACATGAGATTGACCAGGAAAAAAAATCATGTCTTGAATGTTATTTAAACTTGATTATTACAATTTGCTGTTTGCAAATGGTTTTCTTAGACTACCAATACCTGATAGGCTTATCATGCATGCATTTCTCGTTAGTACGTAATTTTCTCATGAATTTTAGCCAAAAGAAAAGACATCTTTTTCCAAACTCGTCAAAAGAAATTTTTGGGAGAGAATATGACGAAGTTGAAACGAAATTTTTTGTTTTTGCGCTAATGGAAGTTAAAAGAAGATTATTCAATTGTACATGTATTTAATAGTTGGGAAATTGGATAGAAGGTTCCAATCTATTTAGGCATATTTATGGTATGTTTACCTACACATAATCGGAACGAGCATGAATTGGAGTGGGCAGGATTCGGAGTGGGTAGGATTCAGAGTGAAGAATCGGAGTCAGACTAGGTTGTTTACTTAGTGATAGGATTCGGAATCAGAGTCATTCTAAATCTCATTCATACGTTTACTTACACCCAGAATCGGAATGAAAAAGTGTAAAAGTACTAATATACCCTTTAAATCAATTTGATATTTTCAATTTAAAAAATATATTGTGTACTTATTATATTAAAATTAATCATAATTAAAATATTTAGTGTAATAATTAGGCACTAAAATAATAAATATAAATTGTACAACTATTTAAAATATAAAAATAAATTTTAAATAAAATAAATAAAAATAAAAAATAGTGTTAAAAAATAAAATATATTATTAATTTATTAAAAATAAAGTACATATTTATTACATTAAAGTTAACAATAATTATGCTAATATTATAATATTAGGCAAATAAAATAATAAATATATGTTGCACTTATTATTTTTTGAATTTTATTCTGAATTATGTATTTATAAGTAAAATAAGGGTATAATAGTAAATTAATATTAATATTAGGAATGAGAGTCTCAATCCCAAGGGGGGGCATGAGAGTGCCAATTCCATTCCTCAATCCCAAATTTGAGTGAGGCCCACCAATCTCATTCCTATTCCAGGATAAAAAAGAATAAATAAACATGGGATTGACTCCCATTCCCCACTCCCATTCTTCAATCCTGAGAAGTAAACATGGCATTAGTCTCTTTTAATCCCAGTTGCTTAATTTCTCTCTTTAGTTCAAAACAAAAGCGTGTTTTTCTACCTTTCATTCTTTGCCTTTTCAACTGAATATATAGTTATTGGAAAAGGGATATACGAAATGGAGAATATATAGTCAGTTACATTATTCAGTTAAAAAAAACGTTATAAATTAAAATTGAAAAACAAATATATATGTTGAAAAAAAACGTTTTATGAGATTTAAATATTTAAATGAGGCCTAATTAATAGGAATTATGAGTAATTAGTTAAGGGTTTCCTAGTATTAAGGTTTTTGCTCGCTTAATGGTCTTACAGTTAAGCCGGCAATTCAAACGGTTTGAACCATTCAATAAGAAACAATCCACATGATTCCAATCACATACACGAAATATCACAATAACATCATATTTATTACAATATTTGTATAAATTATCTCACATTGAGAACAGAAAGAGCTGATCCTAATTAATGGAGGAGTACTTGAGGAAGAACTTTAATTTGGAAGCCAAGAGACCCTCCGAGGAAGCTCTCATGAGATGGAGATCGGCGGTCTCCGTCATCAAGAATCCCCGCCGGAGGTTTCGCATGGTCGCCGATCTTGCCAAGAGAGCCGAAGACGGGAGAAAGCGCACCAAACTTCAGGTTCAACATCTTCTCTTGATCTTTTCTAGACTCTCAATTATCATAGAAAGTAATTATATGATGAATCATAATTCAAAGTGTCTATTAATTAATTCACAAAACAGTTTTAGACGTATTTCTGAAAAGTACACGAAGGATCAGTCTTGAGCCGTCACATCTATTCGGATTTTATTTTATTTTACATATTTTTTTACATTTCGATATAATTTTGGTTAGTCCTGACGTTCAGCAACATGCACTATCAATTATGCTGATAGCTAGACTAGTGCAGAAAACTCCTTACGCTAATCATTTTTGTCGTTCATCACACAATTATATCGAATTCAGCTAAATTAAAACTAAAATATGACTCATAAATTCATTATCAATCTCAACTGTAAGATCAGCCCTTTTTCTTTATTGGTGAATGATGAGTATGTTAAGGATCATGATTTTGTAATTGCCGTATGTGTATGGCAAATAATATTGCATTTTAAGATCTTTCAAAACCTTCTAATTTGTCCCAAACCAAAAAGAAAAAAAAAATAAAAGAAATTTGTTTTTTCATGTAAACTTTTCTTCATTTGTAACGAGATTTATAAGACAATTACATAGATAACGAAAATCTGTGATCTGATTAGTCCCTTGATAATCATGTAGCCCATCTAAGACGTGGTATTTGGTTTATTGTGGTGGGTCGTACATTTTGACATTCATGCATGCAATGTATATCCGGCCCCATAACGTGGTCAAATGTGAGACTTGCCTTCACAACGTACGGTGTCGTATTAGGCGGTCGTGTGTTTGTTAATTTTCAGGTCAAATATTGTGAAGAATATAGTCTCGTTTATTTTATAAATTCGAGTTTAGAATTTGAATTTTGTTACAGTAAAAAACTCTCAGAAATAGTCATATTTAACTTTTTTATTATGATAAAAAGCTTTTACATAAAGTCACATCTCAACTCGAATTAAAAACTCAAATCAGCGAACTAAATGGACCTTTAAAATCCACAGATGATTATGATGAACATTGTTTTGGAATAACAAAAAACTTCTCTTTTTGTGCATTGTGCATGCTTAATTATCTTTACTATAATTAGAATGCTTTTGGACTTTAGATCATAAAAAAAAAGACTTGCCAAAATATCCGAGTATTTAAAACTATATATATATATATATGTTATATATGTATCGAGCTAAAAATGCAAGTGCTCTGTTCTTATTTTACACTTTTTATTTTTTTTTATTATTTTACACTTGCTTCCAAACGATACTTGTTGAATTTAAACATCCTAATTGTTGACTTTGGGGGTTTTCTTCTGAACAATATATATGCCGCAATTTTTCTTTTTTGTGGGTTTTAGAAGAAAATTCCATTGTTCATATTATATATAGTTCTTGAGTTCTTTTGGTATTTTGTTTTGTTACTTTTTCTATTTTTTTTCGCACGAGTTCACAATTCTGCTAAAGTTGACAAGCTCCCGTTTAGTTCGCTGATTCGAGTTTTTAATTCGAGTTAAGATGTGATGTTATGTGAGAGTTTTTTACTGTAACAAAAAAGTTAGATGTGACTGTTTCTGAGAGCTTTTTACTGTAGCAAAACTCGAATCGGCGAAGTATTTAAAACTAATTGTGGGAGGGTTATTAAAAATTAATATAATAATAAACAATAATAAGTTTTAATAAAAAACCCTTAATTATATACTTTAATAATCGAGTTACTGAAAAAACACACGCACACACACACACACACAATTGGAATACAACTGATTAGCAAAATGTACTCGTAATCTTTTCAAAACATCAAAAATTGTTGTTATAGAAATTAGTTGACCAACAACGACTAATGAAAAATGATGATGATAATATTCTATCTCGTACTGGCCGTATGGACAAAAAGGAAACTTCTTTGATATTTTGGTATTACTGGACTACAGATATGCGTGATGTTTGCATTTTATATCACGATCAATAACTTTTTATCCAAGTCACCAGCCAGTTTTTTCCCACTTCGACTTTTCTAGAATCAATTTGTTAAAAGGAGACGAAAGATACTTTTCTTCTTTTCTTTATTTAATTACCTCATCAATTTTGCTATTATTACGTAGAAATTAGATTGCCATTCTTTTGCTTGATGATCAAGAAATACTTCATTGACTACTTTCTCTGGTGGGTCTAAGGTATTTAATATTCTTGGTTTCATATTTTTCCTATTAGAGACAGAATCCAAGAACGTTATTCCAGAAGGTGTGAAAAAATCTAGCTTACGAATATCACGGAAACATATTTCAAAACTTGTGTATTTTCCCGGAAAGTGTGAAGTTCAACGAGTCATTATTTGTATAAGAGCTTTATGTTCTAACTTTTTTTGACTTTCATTTCATTTCAGAAGCTACCAAGGAAATTACTATTAAATTTCTTGTCAGAGTGAAAGAAATAAATGCAGAATCTTCGAAAACGCAATATACCGGGATAATGTTCAACCTTCATGAAGATTTTTATTGATTTCTAGATTATTGAAAATAACATTTTGATATTCTATTCAAAGGGCAATTTTCAGATGCGCCAAAACAACATATTGAACAAGTGATATAGAGAAAATGTCCACATGATATTCATGAGAAATTTTGGCCAAGCTTTAAGCCAACATATTAATTAATTAGATTATTGGAAAACCTAGCTTGTTTCTCTCACTTTTCAAGGTTCATGGTTTTGTAATAATTCTCAATAGTCCTAACAATGTATTCTCATTATCTTGCTACAATTTTTGGGCAGGAAAAGATAAGAGTAGCCTTATATGTGCAAAAAGCAGCACTGCATTTTATTGCAGGTACTCTCTTTTGAACAAGTGACATTGAAGCTTAATGTTAAATCTTTCAATATTTTATTTTCTAATTCCATTTGATCTTATGTAGCCGGGAAGCGAGTTCAGTACAAGCTCTCCAAAGAAGTTGAGGAAGCCGGTTTCGGAGTTGAGCCCGATGAGCTCTCGAGCATTGCTCGTTCCCACGACAGCCAGTCTCTGGAGAACCACGGCGGAGTGGAAGGAATAGCGAAAGAGCTTAGTGTGTCCTTGAAAAATGGCATTGCCTCAACCGATGTATCGCTTAGGCAAAGCGTGTTTGGATCCAACCGGTTTGTTGAGAGGCCTCCGAAAGGCTTTTGGATGTTTGTCTGGGATGCCCTTCAAGACTTAACTCTAATCATCCTCATGGTATCGGCCGCAACCTCAATCGGTGTTGGAGTTGCCACAGAAGGTTGGCCAAGCGGTATGTATGATGGCCTAGGGATAATTCTTAGTATTTTCTTGGTGGTTTTTGTCACTGCAATCAGTGACTACAAGCAGTCATTGCAGTTTAGGGATTTGGACAAGGAGAAAAAGAACGTTTGTGTTCAAGTCACAAGAGATGGGTGCAGGCAAAAGCTCTCAATCTATGATTTAGTGGTTGGTGATGTTGTTCATCTCTCCATTGGGGACCAAGTACCTGCTGACGGGGTTTTCATATCGGGCTACAGCTTGACTGTCGACGAATCGAGCTTGTCGGGGGAGAGCGAGCCTATGGCTGTAAACGAAGGCAGGCCTTTTCTCCTATCCGGGACTAAAGTGCAAGATGGCTCTGGCAAAATGCTTGTCACAGCAGTCGGTATGAAGACCGAATGGGGACGACTAATGGAAACTCTGAATGAAGAAGGCAACAATGAGACACCACTTCAAGTGAAGCTTAATGGGGTTGCAACCATTATTGGGAAGATTGGTTTGGCTTTTGCTGTGTTGACATTTTTGGTTCTAACTACAAGGTTTTTAGTGGGAAAGGCAATGCACCACCAAATAAAAAAATGGTCTTCAAGTGATGCTTTGGAGCTTTTGAATTACTTTTCCACCGCAGTTATCATAGTTGTTGTTGCAGTCCCAGAAGGGCTTCCTTTGGCAGTGACACTAAGCCTTGCATTTGCCATGAAAAAGTTGATGTCTGATAAGGCTCTTGTGAGACACCTCTCCTCGTGCGAAACGATGGGTTCAGCCACTTGTATTTGCACAGACAAAACAGGAACATTGACAACAAATCATATGGTGGTTAGTAAAATATGGATTTGTGAAGAAATCAAGGCAATAAAAAGTAATCATGTCAAAGAAAATGCACTCAAATCCTCGGTCTCCGAAGGAGTTCTCGACCTTTTCTTGCAGTCTGTATTTCAGAATACTGGCTCAGAGGTGGTGAAAGGGAAAGATGGAAGGGAAAAAACAATCGGGACTCCAACAGAAACAGCTTTGGTGGAGTTTGGATTGCATTTGGGAGGCGATCCACATGCTTATAATGAGGAGTATAAGATAGTGAAGGTTGAGCCTTTTAATTCAGTGAAGAAAAAGATGTCGGTTCTTGTGGCTATTCCTAATGCTGGAGGGTTTAGAGCATTCTGCAAAGGGGCATCAGAAATTGTTCTCAAAATGTGTGACAAGGTAGTGAATGCTGAAGGGGAAACCGTGCCACTCTCTGAAGAGCAGAAGACGAATATCTCGAATGTGATAAATGGTTTTGCCTGTGAAGCTTTGAGGACTCTTTGCACAGCTTTCAAGGACATCAAAGAGACTTCTGATGCAGATAGTATTCCTGAAGAGAATTACACACTAATAGCTGTTGTTGGAATCAAGGATCCTGTGCGCCTCGGGGTTAAAGAAGCCGTCCAGTCTTGCTTAGCAGCGGGAATCACTGTTAGAATGGTCACTGGTGATAACATCAACACTGCAAAAGCCATAGCCAAAGAATGTGGTATCTTGACAGAAGATGGCTTGGCCATAGAAGGGCCAGAATTCCGCAACAAGACTCCGCAGGAAATTAACGAGTTGTTACCGAAATTACAGGTCTTACAAACCACTTTACCATAAAAATTCAAAGTCGTAAATTTGTTGGCTCTATCAATTTTTGGTTTTGTGCAGGTAATGGCTAGATCAATGCCTTTGGACAAGCACACCTTAGTATCTCACTTAAGGAATGAGCTTGAAGAAGTTGTGGCAGTGACTGGTGATGGGACTAATGATGCTCCTGCCTTGCATGAGGCAGACATTGGACTTTCCATGGGCATAGCTGGAACCGAGGTTCGATTTTTTCTTGAAACTCGCGATGAATTTTATTTTGAACTCTTCTAAAAAAAAAGGCGTAAATCACCGATAACCCTTTATATGAACAATCTCGTTATTAAATTACACTTAAAAAATGGTGTAGGTTGCAAAAGAAAATTCTGATGTGATCATAATGGATGACAACTTCACAACTATAGTGAATGTCGTTAGATGGGGACGTTCCGTTTACATCAACATTCAGAAGTTTGTGCAGTTTCAGTTGACAGTTAACGTCGTTGCTCTTATGCTCAACTTCATCTCTGCATGCATATCAGGTCCCTTTTGTTAAAAACTTCATCCTTTTTCTTGGTAATCTTCTTGGTTACTTCTATTTCTCAAGACTTGTTATTGACCTTTGTGAAAATGACTTGTTCTCTTCAGGGTCTGCTCCACTCACTGCTGTTCAAATGCTTTGGGTGAACTTGATAATGGATACACTTGGTGCTCTGGCATTGGCCACAGAACCGCCGAATGAGAGGCTAATGCAGAGGCCACCAATTGGGAGAAATGTGCATTTCATTACTGGGATTATGTGGAGGAATATCATTGGCCAAAGCATTTACCAGATTTTGGTCCTTTTGGTTCTCAAGTTTTGTGGGAAACAACTGTTGATGCTCACTGGTCCAGATGCTACTTCAGTTCTCAACACAGTTATATTCAACTCATTCGTATTCTGCCAGGTAATTTTATCACCTTTTGCTTCAGTAATGTTCCAAATTGCCATTGTTTTTTGATCAATCTACTTAGATCATGTTCACTGATTGTAATGGAGTCTGATGGAAAATAGAAAGGTTTTGGAAAGAAAATGAAACAAGCCCTTTTTATTTTTACTTGCTTATTAGGAAATGGAATTGGAAACAATCTAATTCCACTTCCACTATTTTCTAATATTCATAACTTCAGAAAAGAGCAGTCATAATGCTTATTTTTAGTAAAATGTCTGAGTGCATACGTAATATATAATTGTTGGCTATAAACTTAGTGAAAGTATACAAGCAAGTTTGTAGTTCATTCTGATTGTGTAGCAAAAACAAATCTAGTAGGTAACTTAATTTACATATTTGTTTGTTGCCCATTTCTTTTCTCTTGATGATAAAAGTAAACCCGACCTTAGTCTAATCACACTCTTGCTTATGTTGGATTTTGCAAATTAGATATTCAATGAAGTAAACAGCAGGGACATGGAGAAGATCAATGTTTTCAGAGGAATATTTGATAGTTGGCTTTTTATGATGGTGATAGTCTCCACAGTGGCATTCCAAGTAATCATAGTTGAACTTTTGGGCACTTTTGCTGGAACCGTGCCACTGAGTTGGGAGTTTTGGCTACTCAGTGTCCTGATTGGAGCTGCTAGTTTGCTTGTTGCTGTTGTTGTGAAGTTCATTCCTGTTAAAATCCCAAGCAAGCATCAACACCATGATGGTTATGAAGCTCTTCCAAGTGGGCCAGAGAGAGTATAAGAAGAAGAGAAATTTGAAAAATGCCACAATAATGCCTCAGTTTCAGATTTATGCCACGGATATTGGAGCTTTTGATTTAAAATGGCATTAATCTGAACCACAAAGAAGTTTTGGCATAAATCGGAAGAGATATAACAGTCATGGTGTACTCAATTCAACACATGTAATTTTGATTTGCAGGAGAAAACTTTTCCAACTCACTTTCACCCTTGCAGATTCCAACGCAATTCATTCATTTTTTTTTAAACTAAAATTTTAAATTTTTTGCATTGATGGTTTGTTAAAATCTGACTCAGTTATTCATTTTGTTTGATTCTATGTACATTTAATCCTTAAATTTGCTCCAGAAATTGTATTTCTGGCTGAGAGTAGAAAAAGAATGGCGATCTCTATCAAACTTCTTTATGGTTTCTTTTTAGTATCAATCATACGGTTCAAAGACTGGCCAAGAATTCATAAGAACAAACACAAGGCATGATTGTTAAAAAAAAAACCCAAGAAATTTCTCAACATCCATAAGGTTTTTAGGAGGCTGATATTGTCTTCAGAAATCGAAAGTTTTGCAGGCAAAATGAAAGAAAAACTTAAAAATAGAGTAGCCCTAAACTTGATAGAATAAGTTCTGGTATCAACTTTAACCAATGGCAGTGAAATTGAAGTTGTTCTACCTATATTATACATCAAGGCTATCGTAATCTTGTTCGAAGTCCTCAAGACTTTTGGGAAGTCTCATAGGCAAAAAAGTAGAGAAGTACTGATGATCTTTCCGAAACAGGCAATCGACAACTTTCATCCTAGCTAACTGCCATAACACAATTTACGAGCTAGCAAATTAGACGGGTTTTACATTCGACAAGGGCAAATTTCTCAATAAGTTGACATGCTCCTGAAAATGTCATTATCGAGACACAAGACTGCAACATTCCTAACTACAACCAATTTGAGGAACACCATCTACTTTGATGCGCGCTCAGCTTGCTTTTTGACGAATAGCTTGGTTATGTCTTCTGTCACAGTGTTACTCCTGGATGAATACAATACCATGAAAATCATCAGCAACAACATTCCTTCTACACAAAACATATACAAAAATTAAAATGCAACAATAAAAGCCAGTAACAATAAAAAACAATTGATGCCCCAAAATTTGATTTAGCCAAGTGTGAAAATTAATGTGATGTAGGGGCTCTTGTTGCTGGTTTACATTTTTTTGGTTTTTAATTGGCTGAGTATTTTAGTTTAGGGTCGTCAAATGTTTTGGCTATTGGTGGTCGGACTCTTAAGCCTGACTAAAACTGTTCGTCTCAGTAGGCTCTTTTCTACTTCCCCTAAAAGCTTTGTCTAATGAGGGTCCGAGCATGGAGATCATATCTAGCAGATTGCAAAGTCAGAACAGGGAATTGAGCTGTGCCTCCCCTACTGCAGCCATGAATTTGGTTGTACAATGGATAATCCCTGATATATAGTATTAAGCCAAGGGTAGATTTAGCATTAATCCCCTAAAACCGGGGATGAGGTTTCATGCTCGAAACTTGGATTTCTTGTATTCAGAAAACTGCATTCCACCCCCATAGGCCACACTTATCAAGACAAGATCTCATTGGCTTACACTTTCCACTTTGAGATAAGTAAATCTCTCAAAATCTCTCACCGTCATACTACAGGCCACAGGGCTTGGCATCACAAAGAAAGTCCTGAAGTAAGTTCCCAAACCGAAGCAAACATTCTTAAAAAATGCCACTGCCTCCATAAGTTTTCCTATTTCTAAAACCTTTCAATGTAACATAAACAGTGACAATAATCACCTAAAACCGCTCAAATCAGGATAGCACATTTTAAAAAATAGGTATACATACATACATGCATGCATGCATACAAATATAAGCATATAGAGATAGCTCATAGATCTAACGTTAAATAACTGGCGCAACGGAATGAATAGAACGGGATTTTACTGGTCTAATCCGGACAGAGGATTCCCAAATCCACCTAAAAGAACCCCATAAAGGGGAAAATCCCCAAATTGGAGAGAAAACTCAACTCTAATTCAATTATCAAAATATTCAAGTATGCTTAATACAATAGTTAAGTGGCTACTTATAGTACCTAGAAAACGATAACAAAATAACAACTAAGATAAACGACATAATAATAACCAAACTAAGCTACATTAGAAAGCTATACAAACGACAATAGACATAAAAAACGACTACTAATACTCAAATCTCCTTACATCAATAACTGACCTTCCACTAAGCTGGGGAGGAACAAGCAAGCCACCACCAGTATCTGGAACATTCTTGGAATGAGGCAACGTCCCTTTAGGAACTTTACTGCGGGGAAGAGAGGAAGGCAACGTCCCTATTGAGTCCCTCTTCCGTGATGCACTTTGAGCCACAGCAGTTGCCACTATGGAGGAGTGGTCAATGGTGGAGCCACTCAAAGCATTGTTAGATGAGAAATCAGTAGAGTTCAACAGCTCCGAAGCATCTGGGAGTTTCTCAAGTGAAGGCTGTGCTATGGAGTTGGAACTTTCAGGCTTTTCCTTTGATTCAGAACTACCCAAAAAAAAAGGGACTATTTTTTAGAAACAGGTGAAAACCCATTAAGGATCTCAAAGGCTTAAACTTGCTGCACGAGTCAATTGAAAACAGAACGAAGTCCTTTTTTTTTTTTTTTTTCAAATAATTCTCTAGTTCCAAATCATTTTTCTTATGTCCCTTGAAAAAAAAAAAAAAAACAAGAATTAGTTTTTTTATGGCCAACGCAACTACCAAATAATTCTCTAGTTCCAAATCATTTTTCTTATGTCCCTTGAAAAAAAAAAAAAAAAACAAGAATTAGTTTTTTTATGGCCAACGCAACTACCCCCCAAAATAATAATAATAATTTACAAACAGGTGAAATCCCATTAAGGGTTCAAAGCATGAAAGGCTAAAACTTTCTATATGAGTTAAATAAAATAGAGAAGCAAGGAGTTATTTATTTATTTTCAGTTTCAATTAATTTTTCTATTGTTTTCTCGCCAATTAAGCATAATTCTGTAGTATTTATGTTGACAAAGACTTGATATTTATGAAATTAACAAACCCATTAAGGATTTCAAAGCCTAAAACACAAAAAAAAAAAAAAAGGTACTTTTTAAACTTTATTTCCTTCTATCCAGACTCCAGAATTTCAAATAAACTTTCTTACTGTTTTTCTCGCAAACCAAACACAACTCTATAAAATTCATTGCAAGAAAGACCTGATTGTGATACTAAAGTGCGGAAGTTGAACGCCAAAAAAAAACCCATCTACAATTTCGTTTAATCTATGAATTGGTAAGCTCTTGAGCTGCAAAAAATTAAGATTCCGAGAAAAGATAGAGAAAAAATAAAAATTCACAGCTTTTGAGAATGCGTTGAGGGTTGAGGAGGATCCCGATAGGCTTTTTCATGTTCTTCGACGAGCTTCTCCGGAACGACGTCGTCTTCGTCGTCCGACAATGCGTAATCCACCAAAGACATGATTTTTGCGATTTTACTTTTCCCCCTCTGAATCTCCAGCGAGTGTTTTATGATTTCAGACGAGAGAATTTTGGTTTGTTTTGTGTTCAGGCCGGTTCAGAAGGCCGGTTCAGAAGTCTTTTGTTGTCGTTGGTGATTAGGCAGGATAAGTTTGTCGTTTCTGTTTGTTTTCCTAAGTTTGTCGTTTACGAGGATTCTAGTTGGCCCCGTCATTGTCGTTCCCTTGAATGACGTATGAAGCTAAACGACATGACGTTCAAGTTACAACGGGTTTATAAGCTAGAGCGACGTGTCGTTTTTGTTCACCGGTTTTTTTTTTTTTTTTTGTTTGTTTGTTTCTTTGTTCATTTGTGAAAGTATGTCGTTCATAATTGCCAAAACCAAATAAATCTTTTATCCATGCAAATTAGGCCATTATTATAACTTATTAGAGTTTAATTATTTACCGGTGCCATTTTTTTAATGGTTTGAGAAGAACCATTTTCATACGGTTCGCCAAGGAATTAAAAAGTAAATAAAAAAGATTCTGAGACAAAAAAATAAAAAAAAACTAAAATAACAATTAAAAATAAAAAAGAAGTTGCTTTTGTAAAACTTTTTTTTTTTTTTCCTTCCTTTAGGATTGTGTTTCTCAAATCCTTCCATATAAATAAAATGAATATCCGAATACTAACTCTCTAGTTAGTTGCCTATACGAATAAGTTTTACTTTCACATCCCTTGATTTTTTTCTTCCATGATGAGTATTATTATTTTCCTTGAAGATAGTAAAGAGGATTTGGAAAAGTTACGGTGCACATTTTTTCATTGATGAGCTTGCGTATATATACATGAATTTCAGAATATAAAAGTTAAACTTCCCTAATCTAGGTGATCTCTTGAATCAAGGATTTTCTTCAAATCAAGGCCTTTACAGAGATTGAAAATCTAAACTAGGAAACAAATAAGATAAATACAGAAAATACAAAATTACAATTATGTACATTCTCTAATATGCCCCCGCAAGATGGAGCTCCGGGAGGAGAGTCCAATCTTAGTTCGAAGTTTAAAATCGGTCACAAGGTAAAGGTTTCGTAAGTGCATCAGCTAATTGATCCTCGGACGAGACATGAGCTACTCGGAGAGCACCGCTTTGAACTTGATCTCGAATAAAATGATAATCTAACGCAACATGTTTCATACGAGAGTGAAAGACTGGGTTGGAGCAAAGATGAGTGGCACCCACATTGTCACAGTAGACGACTGGAGCTTGAGGAACAGTAACTCCAAGTTCAGTTAAAAGTGAACATACCCAACTCAATTCTACAGCATGGCAGTAACTGATTGATATTCGGCCTCCGTGGAGGAGCGTGCCACGGTGCGTTGCTTCTTAGAGCTCCAAGAAATGAGGTTGCGCCTAAGATATACAATGTAAGCACTAGTGGAAGTATAGTCGTCCTTGTTGCCGGTCCAATCTGCGTCAGAGAAAGCATGAAGAGACAATGGGGATTTACGATGTAGAAGAAGACCCTGATAATGGGTTCCATAAAGATAACGCAATATCTGTTTCACAGCATTCCAATGGTCAGTCGTTGGGCAATGCATGAACTGTGAAAGTTTGTTGACCGTAAAGGATATGTCAGGGCGAGTAAGAGATAGATACTGAAGACTCCCTACAACTGCTCTGTACTCAGTAGGATCCGACAGTGTTGTACCTGAGTGGAGTGTTAGAGTTGGAGTAGTTGCTAGCGGTGTGAGAACTGGCTTAGCTTCTGTCATATGGGTGCGAGTCAGGAGATCGTTGATGTATCTCCGTTAAGACAAAAGCAAATCATGAAGGTGTGGAATGACTTCAACTCCAAAAAAAAAAGATAGAAGGCCAAGGTCCTTGTTGCCTATGATTGTGAATCTAGAATCTCGCAAGTGCACGAGTCAACAAGTAGTAAAATGATGAATAACCAAGTATCGTCCCACAGGGATTGAGTATTTTTGAAATCAAATTGCTAAGTTAATTCTATTCAAGTTTTTAAGAAGAAAACTAAAGTTGATTTTAAGATGTTAAAAACTAATAATAATCTGACTATAAGAAAATGAACAACAAAGATAAAATTAATTAATAACAAAATGTGCAAATAAAATTGGCCAAAGTCACTGTGCGTGGCTCACAATTGCTAAACTGTCTACTAATAATGCTATGCGATGCTGCAGCAACGGACGGCAACGAAGACTTCCTGTTAACCAGATTTACTAAACCAGAGATTTTCCAATCCTCTGTCTACTGATCTTAAAGCTAAATCCCACAAATCCCTTTGCAAATCTAGACTCTAAAATCAGAGAATGAAGCTCTAAATCATATGGTTATGCAAGACACAATATATTCCTATATCATGTGAATCAAAAATCTAAAACAAGATCTAAGAACTTGCACTATTCAAGCTGTGTCCACTCAACTAAATCTTCCCAGATCTAATCAAAGCTATACTCCCCTCTTATGATTTCCCAATCATAGTTAAGGCACAAATTCATCTCACTTGAATAAACAAAGAAATAATCATCAGATCCATTCAACATCAACTAACATTTCAATATTAAACAACTCAATAATCTCAGCCAGCAAATCATAATCTCATAGAGTTATATATGGATTCGAGTTCAGATTTATAGAGAAACGTAAATGTTCTTCAACAAGGTAAAACAGAGTATTGAGAGTAAGAAAAACTAAGGTGATGAGGAGAGAATCCGAATCTCCCTTTTCCAAGGTTTCTTCTAGCTCTTCATGCATCAACAATGGACCTTCCTTTACGTTCAACACCCTGTGACGTTTTCTTCTTCTTCTTTCCAGTACTGGAGCTGGTACTTGATCAGAGAAATGGAGGTGGTTTCCTTTTTCAAGTTCAGCCGCCTCAACGTTACAAAATATGACCAAGGACCCCTTCTTTCTTTTCAGCTGCAGGTACTTATTGTACCCTAATTCCACGTGGCAGCACATGAGAAAGCCTCCAATGAGTGGCTCAATCAGCACCCTTCACAGACAAAATCAGCCCATTAACCAGCTCAGGTCCAACTGTCAGCAAAACACACTTCTGGCCCAGCTTGTCTTGCTGTAGCAATGCACAACAATGCTGACTAGGATTCCTTCATACTCAAAAAATGAAAAGCTGCTCAAAGCTCCAAACGACCACGTTTTCTTAAAGCTGAGATTAACCATAAAGTGCACCTAAATTAGCTCTTTTTAAACGCTAATCACGAGAGAGAGAATTTATGAAACACAAATAACTAAAAACTATTAACAAGACAAAATATAGGAGAAAACTAATACTAATTACCCTCTAGGTAATAATTTAAGCCCACCTATCACCAAAATTAAATTACATAATGAGGAAAATAATTATTTTGAAAGGAAACTAAATAAAAATAAAATAAAATAAAATAAAAATACCTAAAACAAACTAAAAATAAAATTAATTCCAAATAAAATAAAATGAAATAAAAATAAGGTAAAAGTATTAAAAACTAAATAAATTCTCAAGAACAAGTATACTTTTTAATCCACAAAAGAGGCTAAATAACTCCATTTCTTGGAGTTATCAGTCCTTGAGCAAGAATCGCTTGGCAAGGAGGCCAATGAATGTTTGCACGGCCCGATCATTATTGCCTGTGATAATTATGTCATCAACATAAACAAGTAAATAGATTGTGGTTCCACCTGTGTTGAGGACAAACAAGGAGGTGTTTGCATGAGAGTTGGAGAAGCCCGAGGTGACGAGATATTGACGCAGTTCATGGTACCAGGCACGGGGAGCTTACTTGAGACCATAAATGGCTTTGCGTAGTTTACACACATGAGTGGGGCGATCACCATCAATGAACCCTAGAGGTTGAACCATAAAGACATCCTCTGATAAATGGCCTTAAAGAAAGGCATTGTTGACATCTAATTGTTGTAGTGACCACCCATGAATGACAGCTAGACTGAGGACCATGCACACGGTTGTTGTTTTGATGACAGGACTAAAGGTGTCTTGATAGTCAACACTCGGACGTTGATGAAATCCTTTCACGACTAAACAAGCTTTGTACATGTCAACTGAACCATCAGGAAGGCGTTTAGTATGAAAAATCCATTTACACCTGACTATGTTTTGCATTGGGTCCTGGGGAACAAGTTTCCAGGTACCATTCCGAACAAGGGCATCACACTCTTCTGACATAGCTTGACGCCATTTGTGATCTTTGAGTGCCTGGGTCACAGTTGTAGGTTCAGAAGACTCTAAAGAATGAAGCTGGGCATTGAGGTTTAGTTTTTGAATGGGTTTGAAAATGTTGCGTTTAGAACGGGTGATAATGACTCGTTGTTCGGGGATGTCTAGTTGATTGGTTGGGGTTGTCCGGTCAACTGAGGGGTGTAGGGTTTTTGAAAGTGGTTTTGTTGGTTCATCGTCTGTTCGATCGACCGGTTGTGACAGATCTTCGTTTGAAGGCAGCTGTGCAGGGGGTGGCACGGAAGACGAGCCAGGTAGTACTGTGGATGAGAATGTGGGAGGAAGATTGATGGCTGGTGGAAGCCAGTCAGAGATGGTGACAGACTCAGAGGGAGGTGCTGGACTCGGAAGGGAAGAAAATAGAAATATGGACTCGACAAATTTGACATGACGCGAGACATATAGTTTGTTTATGGACGGATTAAGACAGAGATAAACACTTTGAGTAAGAGAGTAGCCCAGAAAGACACACAGGACAGAATGTGGAGCTAGTTTATGTTTAGAGTAAGGACAGAGCCAAGGGTAACACAAACATCCAAAGACACAGAGTTTGGTGTAGTTTGGGAAAGTCCCAAAAAGACGTTCATATGGAGACGAGAGTTCGAGTGTAGGAGTGGGCATGCGGTTAATGAGGTAAACGGCAGTGGCAAAAGCATAAGTCCAATAGGTGAATGGTAGAGAGGCATGAGATAGTAAGGAAAGACCAGTTTCAACTATGTGGTGATGACATCTTTGGAGTACCCATTGTGTTCAGGTGTATGTGGTGGGGTGGTAAGATGAGAGATTCCATTGGTGGCTAAAAAGGTATCAAGTGCTTGGTATTCCCCCCATTATCAGAA